TGTCCGAAACATGTTTTTCAGATTTCGGATATTTACTTCAGAGCTATTCCAGTATTGTACTTCCTTTGTTTAGTGTGTGAGTGTACTCTTTCCAAGCTTGCCACGTATTTGACGGTAAACAAGAATTGTACAGTGGTCAGAACTAGACAATGGAGCATGTTTATGAATCACATATGTTCCGACACCAATAATGAAAACAAAGTCAAGTTGGGCATCCAAACGAGTAAAAATATCTGCTAAATTTCGGTGAACTAGTGATGAAAAAAGCCACATTTACATGTATCAATATCGTCAGACATAATTGAAATTGAAATTCAAGGAATTCATTAGCGAGAACAGATTGTGTGGATGATACGCAGTCTATGGTTTCACAGACGTTGGTAACATAAAGGAAATTCTATTTATTTAAGTATTTTGGTCGGCATCTTAAGGTCAAGCGGTCGATAAATTTGTTTGAAAGCCTAAAACGTGCAAACGTATGCTGACAACAGTTCAGTTTTACAAATATAGTTACAGCTCTGCTACACCTTTTCTCATTTTTTAATCGATTCTGACGATTTATACTATGATGTTGCAGTGATACTAAGTAACCGTCTTCTAAATCAGTTAAGAGATTTTTAAATTGTGATTACACCATAAATACAACACATGTTTTGACTTAGTAGGAATTGGAAATAATCCACCTTGTCCACCTGGAAAAGATTGCTGAGGACAGGGTTGGATGGAGATTCTGAAGAGAGTGGATATTCCTAAGTGCTTGTGGTCGACATATTAATCCGGATATTTACGAATACCATACTGGCGTTGCTAGCAAGGTCCTGTGTATGGATTATTGGATATGTAGAATTATGGTCTACTATGATATTAGTACTGTTTGCATAATAGACCTAATCCTAAAATTGTAGATTTGTCATGATATAACTGCCTAATCTATAAGATCTTACGTGGAAGTCACACCATCGTCTATACCAACTCACTGTATCGTAACAACTACCAATACATGATGAAGAACAAGCTTAGGTTAGAGAAAGAACAATACATTTAATATGGATAAAAGATATAGGGTAATATTCAGCAGGGATCACGCCTGCATGGCTGAGCCATGCCATTCGATCAACTCCAACTCATTCAATTCCTTTTCCGCGCCTTCATCATCGTTAGGTATTTCTCCGCGTTAAATATTGAATATCTATTTCTGAGTATTCTCGTATTCGGCTTTGAGGATTGTGTGGTTATGGTCTAATGCCACTACAGATATACATTTAAATGCTGGAGACCATGAGGAACCCAATGAGAAGTTTGACATCTGATGCATGACCAGGAAAATATTAATAGATGATGGAATCCTTGCTTATTTCTTTATATTCATCGGAAAGGATGCTCATATCATACTTGGGAATCCAGTATTTCCGGATAAACCGAGTTTGTTCCAACATGAAATTCTCAAAACCATACTTACATGCGGGTTTCGGAATACAATACCTAGCAGAGCATGTAACTGTCCACCGACTAACCTGTTTCTGACTTACCGAGAGGCATAAGAAGTGTCCTGTGGACGTGCACCAGTGTCCAACAGGAGTTCATCAGCATTGGGGTTTACTACCATCTCAGATTGAAAACCAGTCTGCTAAAATATGTTGAACTTCGGCTGCGCACTTGTGATTTTGATACATTGAATTTGCGCATTAGTGTACACGGACGTTCTATATCAAAGAGCTCTGGTCAACTGTTATGGCCTATATCAGGATGCATCGTTGTCCCTAGGTTTAGTGGCGTGTTCATGATAGGTATCAATGGGGGGAACAATACGTCGACAGCATTCAACAAAATATATGCGAACACCATTTCGGACCTAAAAGAGTTGAGGGACGTAAATCTGTTGAGTTTTAATTTCAACATACACAGCTACTAAAATGATAGTTGTAATATGCGGCGTACATGCCCGTACATATGTTAGATACATTGTTAATCACAATGGGAGAGCAGGATGCAGGTTTGTTGTAGTGGGCCGTCGACTTGATGGAAAGTTGACATTTCCAAATGGTGAATATACATTGTGAACTAATGATAGTTTAGTATCAAGTTACGTACTAATCACTCCTTCCGAAATTAAGCGCAAATGTCATACATTAAACTTCGTCTCAATATGGAAAGTGACAGTGTCGATTGTTCCTTTTGTATTTAGGCCTCGTAATTCTCCGACATTGTTTACCACAAACCTCATACCTTCATTTTACGAGTTTACCTTTAGCGGATTATTTGTTAGCGCATCCAAAATTACATGAAAGCCCAGAAGAATCTGTCAGAACTGATTTACCTAATTTTCTAAATGAATATGAGTGGTGTTATGGACAGGTAGACGTAGTTTATAATATGCCTTTGTTGGAGCACATACCTGATGAAGTTAGTTCACATGAACCTTCAGATTCTTTTCCTCCCTAACATTCGAGTCTTATATGAGGCAGATAAAGAAATCAGTGCATAGCGGGTATACTGTAGCCAAGCAAGCAACTCAGCGTTATGCAGAGATGTATTTTCGAAGTAAACTTCAAGATGGTATATTGGCTACTACGATTCAAACAACCGTTAAGTCAGACCCAGGAGTACAAGTAATTATGCACATGGATGCCAGAATAACTTCATTTAAGCCAGATAACGTCAAACCAGTAAACGGCAAGCTTGGTCTTCAAACAGATGTAGGGTAAAATAGGATAACTAAATCTAGGCCGTGCACAAACTCACGTGACTAACTTGATGAACCTTTTCTTTCGAGTGATATAATGATATTTATGTGCACAGTAGTTGGTCATGAACATATGTGGGTTTCCATTAAGAACGTTTTGTGCAAATTTTTTAGCTTTGATCTTTACATAATATATTCGTATACTAAATGACGAACGGTCCCCCAATTCACCCCAACTAACCCGGAAATTTAGGAAAGTAATAATCCAAACGGCAAAGACAACTGCCCAAGACAACGCTCCAATTAAACTGAAAGTGACGTCTAGAAATGAAGTTTTGGTAAAAAAAATTTCAGTACATTTCCTAATCAGCTTAGACTCTGGATATGCCTGTGGGGCAGACAACTCCTTTAGAAAACAAAAAACGCCAATCTGTAGTGGCATTGGGCCATAACCACACAAACCCCAAAGCTGAAAACGAGATTACTCGGAACATTAACATCCAGTATTTAACGCGGAGAAATACCTAACGATGGAGAGGGCGGGAACAAGGAATTGAATTGGTTGTAGTTGATCGGATGGCATGCAGGCGTGGTCCCTGCTAAATGTTACCCTATATCTTTTATTTATATTAAATATACTGTTCTATCTCTAGCCTAGGCTTGTTCTCTATCATGTATTGGTAATTGTTACGATGCAGTGAGTTGATGTAGACGATGATGTGACTGTCACGAAAGATGATTGATAAAGACGCGGAAAGTTTAGGATTATTTGTGGTTTTAGAATTTATTAGAGAAAATACAGTGTTCGAAAACCAACTGGCTTTTTTTCTTCGTACCAATTATAACACGTTTTTATTGCTATAACTTTTTTGAGTCATGGGTGGACTCATATATGGCGTAATTGTCCTGTCTTGCTTGCAATGGGATTTCTCGGTAGGAAGTGAAATCAATCCAGAGTTACAGACACGAATCAAAGAGGCATTCGGCATCAGAGATCGAAATCAGTATCAGTACTTTATGCCATCCCTCCTGACCATAAGCAGCAGTAATCTAACAAAGTATTCTGCCCTACAGGTATGCTGGTTTGATCTAAGCTCTATGTTGCACACCTTGTTGGAATACACTTTCACTACTAGGTCCATGTTACAAGAAAACTAGATGGCTAAGGCATTTTTATTGTCGGCTAAACACCCGTTTGTTATGTCACAGTGCTATGGAGATAACTAATGGTATATGCTATAAGATGCTGGTCAGATGATACGTGGTTTAGAGATGATAAGGGCAAATGTCTGATTAAAGAATATGGAAGAGGAGTTTACGGCTGAAAAATTTCAAAGTAAGACGATAAGTCGGAAAAAACAATGTTTATATACTAGTAGCAAACGAATTTTCATGCTGGTAAAATATGAACCAGAAATAACTCACAATAACTTTGGATGTTTTCAAAGCTTCTTATGATCGGACAGATCTGATTTCCCACCCAAGCAGTCTACAGTTGCATTGAGTTTTATTGGGTTGCGCTTCAAGGTATTTCTAAGGTCCGATGTGTGCAACAATATCAGTGGTTGCGCTGATCAAATTAAAATCAAGAAACAGATTTTTAATATTTATGAACAGCGATTATGAAGCATATAACAAAAGGAAATTAATAAGGCACTTTTTAAGCAGCGACATATTAAATGTAAAATGACAGATTTTGGGGGTCGAATAATTGTAGTTTGTGACATTATCTCTAGATGCCAGTCGGTTAGATGTTGGATGGACCATCGTTAGATGCAGCCTGGTTACGTTTGGCTCCACCGAGCATGTGGGAAGCTCCGAATCGGTCCACAAATCAGTTTAGGGAGTATTTAAATTGAGCAGGCGTCCGGCTTGACCGGATGTCAAATGGCTATCTATTCCAGAGGCTTGCATAGTGTGTGATAAAGAAAGCTGACCTCGATTTGCTTGATCTTCTTGATATCTTTAGTACAAAAACCTGGTTCTGAAGGTTATAGTCGCTACTTTTGGCAGTATTTAAAGTATCACAATGTGCTGTAGTTTTATTATATGAAATTATGGGAAGTAAACTGTAATTAATAAGGAGGGAAATTAGACAATAATGTACGTCTTCGGATAGTTTGTAATATCTTCGTTATATGGTCCTACACTAAGCTAACTAGTCACTCACTGAAACCCAGAGACTTCATTTCAGTTAGAAATATCTATGATCCATTCTGATAGCCTTGGAATTCACTGCACATTTTAGTGACCCAAACTGGGTCCAAAATATTTGTTAATTAAAAAGTAATGTTTTGTTTTGGATTCGGAATATTATTATGATTCTTTGATTAATCCACGGTCCATAGCCATAGAAAAATACTCAAACATATTGGCGCCCATTTCCCGCCTTACGTGTCATCACAAAGTGTTGAGGAAATCGATTTATGTTCAGCAAACAAAATAACCCTTATAGGTAGTCTGAGTACTTTGTGAGGTGTTGTCTGTTATGTTTTTATTCCTAGCACGGCCATATTCCTACTACTTATGTAAAAGTTCACTCAAGTTGTGATAGAAACTGCATTAGAACACAACACATTTAGTTTTCATTACCTTTTCGACCGAAAACTTTTAATTTTGGCAGTCTGTGTGCTTGTTAGTTAATAGGAGCTTTTGAAGTCTTGAGGTAACTCAAAATCCATACTAGAATTTAAAACGTCAGATGATTGACATGCGATCAAATATATTTGTTCGAAAGCATATGCTTTCACATAATCATTGATTATGTAGGAATTTGTCACTATAATATGATATTTGTATGATATCTTAGAAGTTAGTAAAGTGTCGAAATTCCACTCAATACTACCGCCTGAGAGTCCAACTAATTATGTCGATGTTCCTCATCTTAGATTTTTATCCTTTGTTTTGTAGGTTTTTATGGATATAAAACGTCTTACTGGTGAAGATAAGCTCAAACTCAGCCGTACTTACTTCTTTGGTAGGTGATTCTAGTTGTCTAAAATTCTATTCTGTTATTAGCTGGAATCGGGTTTCTTCCTTTCCTCTGGTGGATTAACGTTTTTTGTTTTCTAAAGGAGTTGTCTGCCCCACAGGCATATCCAGAGTCTAAGCTGATTAGGAAATGTACTGAAATTTTTTTTTACCAAAACTTCATTTGTAGACGTCACTTTCAGTTTAATTGGAGCATTGTCTTGGACAGTTGTCTTTGCCGTTTGGATTATTACTTTCCTAAATTTCCGGGTTAGTTGGGGTGAATTGGGGGATCGTTTGTCGTTTAACATACCACCTGGCAGATTATAATGAAGATGTCATCAAGGGATAAAGAATGCCTCCCCAGTGGGTCTGTTTGGGAGGTTACAGACTTGCTAGCTGAGGATGCTGTCATCTGCGAAACCCCTAATATTTACACTTCTTCATCTGGATCTCGGCATATCTTCATATCTACGAAGTCCGGATTTTTGGTAATATACAAATAAAAAATCATGCATTTTGTAGAGCCAGGTGCTTTTCATAAGTCGTCACGTGGATCGTTTATTATATAAATATCATAGTTCATCTCAGTCCGGTCCCACAAACCCACCTGAATTTTGGATTCACGGTATAGGACCGCTTAGTATTATGAGGACAGCTGAGCTGGCTCTACACTTAAGTCATCGATTGTACCCTGGGCACCTCAAAATATCAACTTACACGAGCAGCTGTTCAACTAAGAAACATGTGAGTCGGTATTTTTTGAAGTTGTTATCACCACGTAGCTTGTAAAGTATATTTTATTCTAGAATTTTCAGTCCAGAAGTAAAAGCACCGTATTCAGTAGATTTCCAGCCATTAAAATCATACCAAATGTCTTTTTAAATAAATGTTTTTATCCATCTTATTTTCCAGATTATATCTCAAGTAGAAAATGAGAAAATTTCAATACGAGAGGTATCGCGGACTAAAGGTGCTATTCATGTCCATATCCGTTTGGTCCCCACATGCGATGCTTAGATATTTTCATGAATCATAAAAATACCTTGATAAAAGTTGCCAGTTCGTACCTGCAGTTTATATTTGCATTATCCCAATGGTACCTGAATACCATAATGTATATTATGAGTTAAATAAATAGCAAATTTGACTCTTTGTTCTTATTTAACTTTAAGTATTTGTTTGCTTGTTCACTGATTCTGTTAACATTCTGGTTACGCAAAACAAAGCTCCCGATGGTTTTGTGCCTTATCATTTTATATTGTGTCTTGATGGGTGGATATATATATGCAACCAAGGGGATAATCTGGGACTTCTGGAGGATCTGATTCAACTTCAAATTTGAGCAGATAACAATGGACTTTTAACACCTCAAAGCGTGAAGTAGTCCATCTGAGACATGTTGCATACTACACGTATAACTCAAGTACCTCGCTTCTAGAGGTATCACAGATTTAAAATGATCTCGGAGTCTCGGTATATTATGATCTAAAGTCTTACGCTAACTGCAACAAAAACGTCTTTCAAGAAAATCTTTCTCTGGTAACGTCGAAGCCCATTTTTGATCTGAGAGATGATCATTTTGCTTTCAGCGGTCATGTCGAATTGATTTACTAGTTTCTCCATTTTACTTACTATTTATTTCAAAATTGACTCTGATTATTCTGTCACAAAAAATTAACGATCTCAACTAGTGATTATAACTTGACTATATTTTAACTCACAAATGGTGTGTGGGTATTGATTTTGAGGTTGTTTCTTTTTCGGAGGTGGTATCATCTAACTTCTGCTGCCTTGGGAGAATCGATTAGATTGTCTTGGTCTCCATGGCCCGTGATAACTAATCCGCCGAACGTGGCGGAAGTCCCTAAGGAAATTCAACTTTTGAAACACCACATCACCAGACCCAAATGATTTACTTCTGGTCCTTTTTAAAGGTGGTTGGGACCTCCTGGTTAAGGAACTGACTGAGCTGTTTACAAAGGTCGGGAAATTAGAGGGTGTTCTAATATCATGGAATTAGTCGATAGTTGTTCCTATTTTTAAAAAGGGTTCACGTCGTTTTTGCAACAGCTGTCGATGGATAAGTCTACTCCCGATTGCGTTCAAACTATTGGCTTCGAAGATTGTTCAAAATCCGATAAAATTAATTCTTAAGGAGCAGGATGGATTTTATGTTGATTGAGGATGTATTGATCATGTCTTCACCCTCCGCCTAATGTTAAAACATCGTCATACTTAATGTAGATTAAAAATTGTGTTTCTCGAGATCAGGGCCGCCTTCGATCGATAGGATTCGATCTGTCAATAAAAGGACGAGCATACTGCGCGGCAGTCCGTTCTGTTTTACTTTACTGCAGCGAAACATGGCCATTAAGAGTAGAAGACACTCGTAAGCTACTAGTATTTGACCACAGATGCCTTAGAAATATTGCTGGGATCACCGGGTAAGTAATAGTGAGGTTAGACGCAGGGTATTAGGGAAGGATGGTAAATCAATCGATGAGGTTGTGAATCTTCATCGACTGAGATGGTTGGGCCACGTGTTACGTATGCCTGAATACCGATTACCACGACGTGCAATGCTATCCGGTATTGGAGGTTGTTGGAAGAAAGTTAGTGGCGGCCAAACCAAAACGTGGCATCAGTGCTTGAAGTCACTAACTTCTAGTCTGAGCCATGTTGGTAGATGCAGACTACTTGGTCGGGGTCCGCGTGACGATCGTAACTAGTGGTTGGAGACTCTTGGTGACATGGCTCAGAATCGATCACAATGGTGCAGGTGTATACTTTCTCTGTCTTCCCTTAAACTAAGAGATTAAAATCGCTTCATATCTTTCTTTCTACGAACCAATTTTTTCTTCTTGTACTATATATCTATATGCAATCTTTCTCTTATATATGACCACCTTTGACCTAACCACTGCTATGAATCCGGTGTTCATCTTGTTGTGCTGATGCGGTATGGCAACCTGGACCGATGCACATATGTGCCTGGTCCTACGTTGTAGCTGACTGACTGGATCTGGCACATGACACTGGTCACTACCCAGTAATCAATCATTTGTTTCATGGTGAAGGAGTAGGTTGAGAGAAAGCTAGGGGTGGCCAAACAAAAGCATGGCACAGATCCATGAAGTCATTGGCAAGTGGGCTGAGCCATATTGGTAGGTGTAGACTTCCTGGTTGGGATCCGCGAGACGATAGCAACCGATTGCCCGGCACTTCCACATTGCAACAAGCAGTTGCCACACTTGCCCCCAAATGCCCTGATATGGCCGAGAGCGGGGTGGGTTCGCCCTCCCTCTCGAAATACTCTCACACGGCCACGCGTATACAGCCTCTGCCAGGGAAGTCCTACCCACTGCCTTCTCGTGGCGGGGGTGTTGTTTACGAAAATGAGAGGACGGAAAGCGAATGTCCGGTGCTTTAACCGGATCCCAAACCGATGGTGCACATGGGCTCCTGTATCCTGCGGGAACAAATGGCGTATGAACCAATTTCTTGGTCACCGGCTACCATGGGACTGCATCTCCTCACGATGCTCCACTGCCTTGTGGATTAGACCTCTAGGTCAAAGGCTCGGGGTGTGGCCCCCTAAGAAGACCACTTGGTTCGGTCTGGGCACCCGGGCAGTACCACAGCCCACGCACAATTATGATGAACTATTCTATATTTATAGAAAATACTATTCTTGCTGCGATTATGAGAGACTTTGAATGACATGGCTCAAAATCGTTTACAATGGTGCATGTGCATCTACTCTTTGTGTTCGGCCAAATTCTAATCTCCTGAATCCTTGTCTCTTTTGTTCTCTTTCCAAATTTATTTCACTGGATTATACTCCATGAATAACATCTTCAAACCCTAATATTTCCGATTACTACTTATACTCTTACTACATCTATCACTACGGGATTTGAATCGACCACTGCATCTCTGTGCTAATGTGGTGTGGTAACTCGAAGTGATGTACGTACGTACGAAGTCCTACATTGTGACTGACTGAATCAATCATTTGTGTACCTGGGAATCTTTTGTCATCATGTACAAAACCCACAGGCAGAATGAGGACACTAACCACCTCACTCCATTGTTCCGTTCAAGCAATGGGGTTATCCAGGGTTGCCCAGTCTCGACATTCCTCCTCTACTTTGCCATTGATGACGTCCTGGAAGTAGCTCTGATGAATGTAGGTAATGGTGGTGTGGATCTGTTGTCTGGAGAAAGACTTTTCGATATTAAGTATGCGGATGATATTGTATTACGTAGATAATACACAAGCCATGCAATCCTCACTTAATCAGTTGTCAATCAGTATTCGTAGGTATGAAATATAATGCGCGCCTTGTATGTAAAAAGTACTCCTACAAGACTGGAAGGACCATGATCATGCACTCACCCTGGGTAGTGAGCAGATAAAAGTAGTCGAGAAGTTCATGTATCTGGGTAACTGCATAAGTGCTGGTGGTGGTGGCATGAGTGATGAGATCAATTAACGCATAGTGAAAGCCAGAGCAGCTTATGCCAATCTGGGTCATCTTTGTCGCCTTCGTGATGTCCGTCTGGCTGTAGAAGGTTGGATCTATAACACGTTGGTGAGAGTAGTTTTGCTCTATCCTTGTGAAACCTGGCCTTTCCGAATGGAGGATGTTAGGCGGCTCCTTGTGTTTGATCATCGTTGTCCTTGACCCCCCACAATATTGAGAAATATTTAATTTAAACTACAGACTACTTAGTTTTTACAAATTGATTCAACAACCACTGTATCCCGGTTTTCATAGAATTCCAAAGTCTCTAAGAGTCGATCTCTTGAACTAGATTTACTTGAATTTGAGGAACCAAGGCCTAATAATTTTCCTATTCTGGGTGAGTTTTACCATGCGTCTAGGTTTCTAATCCCTCTACACTATTTAGTTTGGCAATTTTGACCATACTTATTCAGCCAATTTTGAATAATCAAAATAGTTTCATTACTCAAAATGAGAGGGTGTATTTGGTTGTTAACAGTCGAATGATTACATATTTATTTTGTATTCGCAAACTACTCAGTCCCAAATAGTTTATATTGATCCTTAGTAAAAACGGATTTCAAACAATGGTTTAGTTTCTTAAAACTGCAGAAGTCATGACCACTGTAATGACTTCACTTATTAAATCTCTATCTTAATTACCGGTGTAAATATCTAAGTTATTATTAATCATGATTATTTTTACAGCATATTTACGTGTATATTTAACGAAAATAAGCACTGGTATAACTGGGAACCAAAATAAATATATGATGCACAAATAAGGTAATGAGATTATAAAGAGTAAGAGGAAGGATTAGGAGTGTAATTAACAACAAATAAGTCAATAAAAATAAATGAATGAGAGTACTACATAGTCGAAAAAATAATTTCATTGAAAATATAATCAGAAATAATTATTGCGGAGAGTCCCTCTCACATTTGATAAATAATATCAAATAAAACTGCAGAAGGATCGTCAATGTCTCATGTTCAGAGACATGTTTGATGACATCTGAAGCCACTGTGTTGCACAACCTTTAGGTCCCCAATCAGAATATTGTCATGAATCGACAAGTGCCAGTCGTACTCAGCTTTCTTTCATATCACAGCGGCATACTATAAACTGATCGCCTCCGCTTTTCCCATCGCTTCCTGGTGTTGGTAAATACTACACCACATGGAGGCCACTGGGACATCTGTGATATGTATCCAAGCCACTAAAGCTGGTGTTTGAAGATAGTGATACCAATTAAGTTATCATCGCTGTCCTTGAACACAACTACATAGATGCATAAACGTTTTAGCTACATCTGATGATTCATTACCAAGTGTGAGTACAGGTACAGACCACTTCTAGTGTTTTAAAAGTAGCTTGCATTTAGATTAAAAATGCATATCATAACCATAGATACTAATTGGCAATCCACCAAGTGCGATTTGCATATATTGTGTATCATCACACACCACGGCAATATCACCCGTCTTCTAAACTCCGAAAAATCCTCCTCAGGATAACAGATTTACACCATCACTATCTACTTACATCAGAGTTGTTTTCAGAAGCGTCATTGATCGTAAAGTCGAAAACGAATGATGGAATTCGATAATTATGTTTAACCACACTGCTTAAGTGGAACGATGGAGGAAGTTGGTTGTACACCCTCACTCTATTTGAGGTGTTTATGTAAAGAGCCTTTAAGATTTTAGTAAACTCAAATACACCCTTCAACAGAAAATAGTCCTGTTCAACAAATGGAATGAAGTCTCTATATCAGGAAGCATAACAATTGTTGGCCTGGAATCTAAATTCATTTAAACAGACTCAGTAAATCTTATTTTTTAAGGTAAATTTCAAGGTTAATGTATACACAGAAACAATAAGGGTTTGTCATGGTCTTTCGACTCATCATTAGTACTTAAGCATGTTTAAAGACTCTGTTTTGAATGACCAACAGTCCGCATACTTTTTTATTTTGAGACTTATTTTCATATATTACCATACTTGTGTTGATGTACTTTTTTAGTATTAATCCAAGCTTATATCAAATGTTTGTTCTCGGTAATGACCTCCAAAAATATCATTACCAATCCTTATGACTTAGAAAAAATGATATTGAAAAATAATGATCGTCAATTTCCAGTGGAATTCAACGTTATTAAGAATGGGAATAAAATGTAGTTCTTGAACTCTATATTATTTATTCAATTATTTTTTTCTGTCTTAAACCAGTCAAAATTGCTTACACTGTCTCGGTTGGCTACTTCTAACGAATACTTATGAGTCAAAGTAATAACGAAGTAAGATAGGGCTTCATAACTCCTCTCTACTATCCTTAACGAATGCTTTTTGATGTGAAGGTAATAATCTTTTGCTTCTTATCTTTGTGTTCAAGATGAAACTATTCCTCCTCATGCAATAATTTTTTGTAAACTATGGTTTAATGTTCACAACCATTGTTCTTTGAAACAAAAGTGACGTTCTTTGTCTTCGTTTATATCTTTTTCTAGGATAGATTTATAATGTTCAAAGTTAGTTTTCTGCGGCTTTATTCATATTCATGTATAATGCGAGTCCTAAACTTCAAGTGAACTGGTATCTCCGTACAGAGAGTTTGTTTTTCCACGTATTTCTTTTGGAATATTCCTAAATCAGTGTTTTAATAGTTTGTGCTGTTTATTTGGGTCTTCAGTTTGAGTGATAAGTTATTTTTATCAAGACAGTTGTCAGGAGATAATGTTGAGATTCTAAGATAGTAAATACGTGCACAAAAATACCTGACTTCCACTTTTTGATTCACTGATGATAGCTTTTGGTCAGAGATCGCCGTCATTTATTGAGAATGCACACTAACTTAATGTCAAGTGATCAATTAATTATGAAAAGGAACTGCTAAGAATGGATGGAAAGTTTTGAGAATAAAATAATGTTAGGACTGTTATACTAAGCTGTACGTTATTATTTTACATCGTATATTTGAAATCTTCCATATATACCACTTTTAAGATAACTAGTGTTGGGATATGTACGGTTGATGATTGATTCTAGTTTGACTTTAATGCAATAGATAAATCTTTGTTTATGAATATAACTCTATTGTGGTTTTAAGTTTCTTTCCTCCGTATTATCAATATCATTAGGAAATAATGTTTTTTTATTATCACTTCCAGAGACTTCTGTCATTCAACAAAATTTAACTTCCAATGACCGATGTCGGTTCAAGTTTAATTTATTGGAATGAGAAAGAAATCCTGCCAAGAGGGATTTTTCTTTCTTCCTCTGGATCTGGTGGGGATCGTCTTCTGTTTTGGCAATCGTTCCATGCTAACGATAACAATAAATACAATCCTAAAAAAGGATATTGTACACGCAATGATGACTGCTCATCAGCGGTTGACACTGTTAACAACCAGGAGTCTACGTTATCAAAGTACTGTAAATTATGTCTGAATACAATTGTTGCTTTATTCGTGTATACTTTTCGGATATGCAGAATTAGTATGTCTTTATTCATTGGTTGACTTTTATGTTGGGTACCGTGAATTGAATATTTAGCAGTTTCAGCACAGTATCGAATTATTCCGTTTATAAGAACTATTCATTTTATTTGAAAATAGTTTCGCTCAATAAATTGTGATTTGTTTATTAAGTGCTGAACACTAAGAATCTATCGATTAATTGTTCCAGTTTAACTGTACTTTGTGATCATTCCCAGTGTTTCTTAAAATTAGTTTCGCTTCATGATGACAACTATCTTTACGCATGCTTTTCTCTTGAGGATTGTTAACATTAGGATCGAATTTTCAGTTACAAGCGAGAAAGTATTCCTATTATAATTAGGTTAGAAATAGTTTTCTATTTAATGTCATAAGAAGGACTCCTGGCCTATTGAAAAATGAATCTAAACGTTAGACGACTCATAGGGTATTTGGCAGTTTGGTCCGGATTTGATGATTTGTATAAATAGTGAATTGGGCAGCCTATGCTCCTCTACGAGGGGTAACAGGCGTAAGTAAGTAAGTAATAAATAGTGAATTAAAGTATATTGTAATGTATTAGGTCCTTTTAAGTTATTTCTTTGTTTAGTAGTAATAAAACGAGACTTCTTTTGTATTAACCCAAACTGAAATTCACTTTTCTAATCTATTCCTTTTTATAAGTCATAGATGTTATTTTTTGTTAGTAACAAATCATTTTACAGCTGATCCATGTGTTTTGTGATAGATAGTTTCTTTTTTGTTGTTGTGCACCATGTGTTTAGCGTTTGAAAATTTTTCACTTTTAGTACTAATTAAATTTATAAAACATTGATTGCTTATATATACTAAATGTTTAACTCTTAGAGTAGTTTTTTGTTATAACGTAGAGCTGTTCACTTTTCTCTTTCAAACTAATATCTTTCTCTTCTTTGCTGACTATCTTTGAACTTGGTTAACTTCTTCCTTCTATGGTGTTATGAAATGAGAGCTTTAACTGATTCGTTTTCTGTGAAATTCTATCCTTTCGGTTAATAAGCAAACTCTAAAGTGTAGAATGTAATGTCATCTCTGAAATCCATATTTGATATCGAGTGTCAATGTTTTAAAATTTTTGTACGCAGCAGAAAACTACACTTTGCTTCCATTATTGTCGATCAGTTAGTTCATCAGTCCCTATCTTTTCTGTTTAGTCGGACAGCGCTCAAGTAACTGTCGATTGGAATCCAGCCCAGAAGAGCTTATTTCTCTTTCGAACTTAATGCTGTACCTACACCAGAGGATCCATGGGAAGTAGCAGTGGAGTACACAGATGCAAGAGGATTAAACCGCTCTGGTTTTTTATGTTGACAACGTGAGGTCAGATTAATGACCGTACTTGGATCTTGTATGTGCTTTACGGAGACGCACCATATATCGACGACGCGAGATTCTTTAGTTCTTGCTAAGGAAGCCCGTTTTCGTATTTGACACAATGTGCAAACATCACAAGCTCCAACATGCAGTTTAGAACGTGGTTTCAGGAGACGAGGAATAACATTTCGTGAACTTGAATCATTATCACTGATGGCGTTTGGTGTTAAGGATGTATACGGGTTAGTTGTGTAGATGGAAGAATTATTAAGAAGTGAGGGAGGGATTTTATCGTCAACAGGATGATTTCAGTTGCTGGTAGAGGTATAAGGGTGGTTGTCGCTTCTCGATTACCAACACTGTGGAAGGATATTTCTTTAGTGATCTTAAAAAGGGGTGGAATTAGCGGTGGCCTTAACGACCTTGAGAATGAGCGCAAAGCCCAAGGAACAACCGCTCAAGGCTGGTCGCACACGGCTCTTATGTAGTTTTTGGTGCGTTAGCTCCTCATTTCACAAGGCGTTACCGCTGAAGACGGAAACCCATAGGATCAGGTGTGACATTTTTGGGCTCGACCTTTTCTAATCCCTTCTTTCCTTTGGGAGAAAATGGCATTGCTTCAGATACTGGTCGTTTGAGAGAAACACCTGCACACCGCTCTACAGTGAGCAGTACGACTCCTTCCTCAATCCTTAAGTTACCACCTTAGTCTTACCGTTCTCCAGCCGACTCTCCTGGTATGATAGGATTTACAGGAACATGTGTTCCAGCCAATATAGCTCGATTAAACATGTCTGACGTCCACTTCGAGGTAGCAGCTATGGTTTGGCTCCTAATAATGATTGTTTGAGAAATTAATAAGAATGTTAAATTCGTTAAGAGTACTGAAAAAGCGTTTTCAAAAGAATACATCGAGTAGTGCAATCGACTACATATAAGTCTTTGAATTTATTGCATTTGCATAGTGCTTAAGTAAATGATACCTTTAAACACCCGAAACCTTGATTTATGCGTAGATTTCGAAACTACGATTGAATGGCAGAAAGTGTAGTGTCTAAGACATTAAACTGTCATGTCACACATAACTAATGATAATAATAATTGTTTGCCAAAGTGATTTTCAAGTGATACATCTACCATTTCTCTACATCATGGACTTCTTAGTTTTTTCGTTTACCTTTACATTGAGAACAGTTTACTTAGTTTGTTAGTTCGTTGCATATTTCCCTGAAGTTCACGTCTAATTTCTGACGGTAAATTTAATTTTATGAAAGGTAATATTTACCAGTTTGCTTATTTATTGGTGTAAGCATAACAATGATTTGAAAAATGAATAGAAGCAAGAAGAAAATAGGTTGTATAAATATGCTTTATTGATAGGTCCGTTCTTAGTTTGAGTAGTCCATGATTCATCTAAAGATAGATTTTTTTGTACCTTAGAACTACACTTGACATAATGGAAACTCTTGCACGTAATAAAACTTCCTGATTTGTTCGTCCTAATTACCATTCATGTGTGTATTTTTAATCATCTTTCTTATTTCACTTGTTTAACTGACGACAGTCGTCTCATCTCCATTTATAGTCATATAGAAATTACTGTATTTCACTAATTTTCTATGACCGTAAATATTCTGTTTTTTTTTTGCTGTCATGAAATTGTTTCTCTACGATGGATATTTCTTCAGGGGTCCTACATCTATTGGTAGTTCAACCATAGAGGCAATCACTCCTAGTCCCAGATTAAAAAATACAGGCCATACTCGAGGTCATAAAAATAGTGAAAACCCATTCGCACTCAGTGTAAGTACTATCATCCTCTTTCAATTTTGCATACTATATATTAAATAATAAACTTTATAGGTTATTTGATAATTAACTGAGGTT